TTTCTTGATCCGTTTGACTTCTTTTTGAGGTACAATTTACAACACACTTATCGCTATATGATGACTTCATTTATTCCGATTCTTGTATATTTATGTAATTCGATAAACTTATGAAGTCCTTAAAAAATAAAATAATAATAAGTAGTAGGGAAATTAAAGTTTCGTTATGTATAAAAAATGCACTAAATGAAATTTATAATGAAGATGTTGTGACATTAAAGTCTGAAAATCAATAAGGACCAATTGTAGCTAGGAGATTTTTGTCTGAAAATATTACATTTTTGTCTTATTTGGGGAAAAAATTTTTATCTAATTTTTGACCTTACTAGAACTGGATCGTGGCTCCACCTCTAACTAGGTACACATAATCAGTTGTTATTGGAATTTAGTGATTGAAATTAAGGGATAAATGCGATAAACTCGTGAATCCTAGTACTTTTTGTACATGTAGAACCCTAAATTTGTCTATTTGTGCAATTTTACATTATTTTAATTATGTGATCCTCGTAGGAACGATAATACAGACTTTTAGGCATACTTTACTACTTGTTTAATTGACGTATAAAATCACAACACAACACCTACCTCTTCGCAAAGATCGTCATCGGGAGATCTAAGAAGGCTCAACAAAATGGGAATTGCGCCGTGATCAATCAGAATGTTGATGCGATCGTTGGTGCGACCGAGTGGATGGGATGAAATAGTCATAGATATAGCCAATGCTGCCTCTTTCTAGAAAAATGAATTACTCAATATATTTAACAGTTGAAACACATGAAGTAAACAAGAAGAAGCAATTAATATCACAAATTTAAACCTGAAGCTGCGGATAACCATCTCTATAAAGAAACTCTAACAGTCGAGGGACAACTCCACTTACTACTTCCCTCATTGGATCTCGGGAATGAACTAATTGAAAGAAAATGGAATCAGAGATATAAGAGAAAATAGCATAAATAGTAATAAGATTAATATCAAATTAATTGGCTTCAATAAAGGTGAATTAATTAATTAATACCATCTTCAAAAGATTCGCGAAACTGTTTTATGGCCTGGAGCAGTGTGTCGTCATTTGACCCTA